ACCAACGACTTCTTTGAGGAGAACCAGAACTGATTTTTTAGTAAAAGTAAGTCATGGGTCTGTAAACCACGCAATGCTGCATGTTTATCTTGCCATAAGACAACCAGATACAAAACATCTTATACGAAAGCGTTTGGTTGGTCCTGACTTTTTTATAACTTGAAGGAAAGGGTGGAATTTTCAAGTTTGTGTCTTGTTGCGATGGCTTTGGGAAGGATTTTATGTCACTTTTATGTCAAACACGAGTGCTCATATTTGATCGTCTAGCATTATAATAAGCTAAGATAGTCTGATTTTGGTAGGGGAAAATTCGTAGCCTCATCACTACCCCTTACTCACAAAGCGTCAGTTTAGAAAAGATCCCATCCCGAGTAAGCCTTGGTGTGCAAGGCTTTTGTACTCCAGATAAGTCACTACAGAGGACGAAATTGGCAAGTGCTGACTCACACCTTATTGCACCAACGGTAATGATAGCTATTACTTCTTGCCACCTCTTTGCCAATCCACCCACCTCTTCTTAGTTCCCCATTCAAGCCGACTGGTTGAAGTCATCACCTACTTTGCACTTTGTAGCATTCGATAACGGTGTCAAAGAGGGACTTGTAATTTTCATAGCCAATTAGACCTTTTGTTGGTTTAATGCAGAATCGCAGATTGAGCCGCCAAAATTATTATTATTACAGTTTCGAATCAGCAGACTTTATCTGCGAAAATTAACTTTTTATATTTTTCTTGAGTGTATTATCGACAAATTGGACCACATTTTCGAGACATCAAGTTATGTACAGAAATTGCGATGTTGCATTTGCATGACACCGATGGAGAGAGGTCCAGTTACCCACTCTCTTGTGACTTCTTCGCTAGTGGCGCAGGTTTTCCCAAACCGTTTGAGCTACTATTTGCCCATTGTCTAGCTAAATCTATCATGGAAGCGCTTCCAAACTGACATCCTCTTTCCTTTCCCAAAAGTAGCCACGTAAATGTAGGACGACGCTTAAGTGAAACTTTTTCGCATAGAATTGAGGTAGGAGAAGCTAAAGGGGAGAGAAAGGCATGAGGGAGCTAACGCTCCCGATCTCTACCAGGGCTACTAACTTCGTTGACGTAGGCGTTGTCGTCCCCTACGTGGCATCCCCCCACTGGTTCGCACGAGTTTTGCTCACACGTACGCACTCTCGCAGGCTTGCACGTCCGCACGTACGCACGCATGCACGCACATGCACGCATTGGCCACCGGCCAAAATCACATACAGTCCCAAGTGTAGGTGACGAAGTGGTTTTAATTTACAAGCCTGTCTGAGTTTCGTATCAATGCCACAGCGCTGTGTCGCTACTGCTGCTGCTGCCGTTGCTGTCGCCGATATCATCGTCAGTGTCCTCACGGGCATCATCAGCATCATTATTTGGAATTGTAAGTGTATGGAGCGCGCAAGAATTAACAATGTATGAAATGCCAGTCTTGGTAAGCGTGTTACCGCCCTCCAGCTAGGTGTTAGCGCCAAATTAATTGCGAGCACAGG